CCAATTTTCGTGGATTTCGTTGTTGAGCAGATCCACGAATTCAAATGTTCATCGAAATACGAAATATGACATTCATTTGCATTGGCAATGCTTTTGTCCACGAAATTACGTATCCTCGAAAACGTCTGTTTTAAAAAATCCACGAAAATTGATGCCAACGAAATTTGATGAAACCACAGTACCTGCGACCGTTCATTCCAGTAGCAACAAACAAAAAAAAAGACATTTTATTGTTTATATTTATATTTGTTTAAATTATCATATTAAGTAGGATTAAAAGTATTAATTATTGTGTAAATGATGCGTCTTTGCACGTACGTTTCATTGATAGAACGGCCACTGATCAAGAAATATGTACAGGTGATATGCCTAATGTAGTTTATGCAGGGATGAACGCAATGGGTTTTCTGAAGAAATAAAAAAGAAAATATTCAGTTGATGTTAATATATATAGTGTTTACTGCATCTGCTTTTTCACAACTGCAGATAATACTTCGTGTATCACCAATTCTTAAATCAAGACATACTATTTACAATTAAGTTTAAGTTGTAGGAATTCCAACAACTTCGTTTGCGGTTCGAATTTCTTTAACTCCACTGCCAATTTATTGACATACCCAGCAAACACTACAAATCATGGGTATTATTTTGCATGGCATTTTGACAAATTTATACCCCCGCTTAAAAAGCGGGAGAATATATAGTAAACGTTAATTCCGTCCGTCCGTCCGTCTAGCCCTATGTCCGACCGTCCGTCTGTTACGCTTTGGGGTACCCATCTCTTATCCGCAACTCCTCTCATAACGCTGAATAAAATTTGATGCACTTTTCACAGAATCTTTATTACATATTGCCTATGTGCACCTCCTATTTATCTTTTTGATCCGACACATATTTTGGGTTTCCCGGCCACAGGAAAACAAGGACTTTTTCACCAGTTATAACGATATGGGAGGCGGGAGTATCATTTAGTGAGCTCATCGCTCACAGTACTTCTAGATCATATCATTTTGATAGGCCATTGCTTTTAATAGAAGAATGACTACATAATATTTAACCTACCTGCAAATCAATGCAAAAGTATCTCTAGAATTTCAAGTTTTATGTCCTTTAAACATTATCGTTTTCTACTTTGGATAGAAATACTAATGAAATACAAGATTAAGTCATTTTAAGTGATAACGTTTTTACATACAACTGCATAAATGGTTTTAATCTATATATACGCCATGCAGAGCACATGATTATTTCGCACTTATCTGATATAAATAAACCTTTATCATCAGTACCAAACGTTCTAATCGACTTGAACACCTAAGCGCATTCGGTACTCCAACTTTCAATTAACCGGCGCAATTTTTAATGTAAGTTTTTTTAATACATATATAAAAGTATTTTCTTTATTCAGTATGATTTTTGAGAGCAGCATTCTTATTAAACTTTTAACGTATCTGTAAAGAGAAAAAAAAATCATAAAAATCGATCAAGGCGTTAACATGAACTCGATTAAAAATTTCTGTAGAAAAATAAATAAATAAAAATGTTAAAAAAGAAAATTAAGAATGACATGAAGTATTTCGATGAAGAAGAAAGACCTTGATAAGGAAGCAGTTTTTAATTTTGAGTCTGAAAGTGTGTTCTTTTCAGGATGTGTGGTGAATGGGCGTTTTCACTTTCGATATATATTCATGTAGGAATGCTGATAGAAATACTCAGGCTCAGTGAGCAAGGCGAAGGGTCAATTGGGCTTTTTTCTGATCACATTTTGTCCGTCACGCGTCCGTCTGCCTGTCTATACACTTTGATATTTTCGACTTCTTCTTAAGACCCACTGTGCCAATATTAACCAAACTTAATACAAAGCATTGCCGGATAAATTGAAATTCAAGTTATTAAAATGAAGTCCTCTCAAAAGAGGAGATAATTAAAAAGAGACAAAAATAGAGAGGGATCATTGAAAATATTCTTCTCAAAAAGCACTGGACTAGAAAAATTGAAACTTTTAAAGGAACATCCTTGGATGGTGTTGATTCTAAATTGTTGAAATTATGATCTCCAGCTGTTGGGTGGGGCTACGATAGGGAATCGAAATTTTACGTAGAATTATATAAGAAGAATCTTCTCAAGAACAACTGGGTCAGAAAAGTTGAAACCTATGTGGAAGCATCCTTGGGTAGTGTAGATTCTAAATTGTTCAAATCATGACCTCCAATGGGTTGGGCGGGGCTACAATAAGGAATTAAAGTTTTTAGTATAGAAATGTACAGATAAAAATCTTTTTAAAAAAATCTTAAGAATCACTTCCCCCAAGTAGAAAATTTTGTGGTTACATCGTTGGATCGCGTGTAGATTCTAAATTGTTCAAATCGTGACCTCCAGAGGTTGGGAGGGGCCACAATAGGTAATCAAAGTTTTATAGTATAGAAATTTACATGCAGGTAAAAGTCTTTAAATATCATCTTCTCAAGTATCACTGGGTCAGAAAAGCATCCTTTGGATAGTGTATGTTCTAAATTGTTCTTATCATGATCCCAGGGAGTTGAGCGGGACCACCAATAGGTAATTTGAATTGTCCAAATTAAGACTTTGGGGTACGATGGGGTCACAGTAGGTAGTACAAACTTAAGGGGAAATCTGGTTAAACATGGCATGGTCCAAGCTTCCCAGGTGAGCTAAGTGGCCCCTGGGCCTCTTGTGTTTATTTTTGAGTATCAAAGTATTTCCTTGTCCAAGCTATAGAACCCCAATTATTTGGCATTTTTGTTCGCTTATGACATCATACTTGAAATATTTTCAAGATATCATCACATAAAGTTAATATATTTCGTTAAGATAAGCATTTTTACATGCAATGATGTAAGGGCTTTACAGAGCATAAAAAATTGTGAATTGTAGTAAAATACGTTTTATCCATATATTTTTTTTTTCATCATAATATAAATCAGTAACAGTATCGAAAATATTAAGTGGTGTAAATCGGATGTGGATACTCAAAAATTACAAACGACATTTGGACAATTTGAAGTCACAGGATTTTACCAAAATCAACAGCTTTAAAACTTACGATTTTTCAACTTTATATACAACCATTTCCCAGGATAAATTAAAATCTATGTTTATGATATCATTTTCATCTGCTTTTCAATGAAACAAAATTGAACTCGTAAATTTTAGAGCACGCTCTAGGTTTGAACAATTTCTAATGCTCGCTTACGTTTATATATTTATTGTAAGCCATCCATTTATACATTGAATTTACAACAGAATTTTTTGTTATTATCCAATCATGACATGGAGCACATCAATAACAAAGTTACATGTAGTAAATAATGTTTCACATGTATTGAAAACACTTATCTACAATGAACTGGTTAACTATATCAGTCATAAATTCCTGTTCCTTATTCTTTTATTTTAAAATGATTTTTGTAAAATAAAAAATCGGACAATAGTAAAATCTTATTACGGACTTACGTTCAACTACAGTACATTGTATATATTTACCTTTAAATGCACAACAATCAATTTCTCACTTTGGTTGTTTATATAAATATATGTTGTTATTTCATTAGTTATACATTGAATTGATTACATATTCTTCTGTTATTTGCCAATCATGACAAGGAGCACACGGCGGGTGTGACCAGTCAGCAGGGGATACTAATCCCTCCATGGCACCTGATCCAACCTCTGATGTTTTGGAGGTCAGTGTGTGCTCTGCTTCTATTTTGTATTATCTTATGCATTGTTTATGGACCTTGAGATTGAATACTGGTCCTTAACTCCATATCTTTCATTCAAAGGACGTTTTTTCGCCCAATCGGTCTCAACGTGTTTTGATTTAGCACATCGTGAAATATTTAATTAGCCAAATATTCTAATTTTTTGTTGCCTGTTATTTTGTTTTAAATATAACATAGTATTTTATTCCTTTTTCATGACAGCATTGAAAACACTGAAATGGAGGACGGCAATTATATCAGTGTGAAGGACAGAATTAAACTATTTTCAAGGCTAGTTGCCTCTTTGGCATCTATTTTCTTCTTTTTTGTAAATTCAATTTAAATTTTTCAAGACATTTGTTTAAAAGTTAAAAAAATTCCTTCTACCCGGATGGTTACATTTACAAAGCTCTATTCTTAATCGATACTTAATTTTTAACTGCTTTTAAAAAAATGATAAATTAAGTAAGTAACTTTAAAATGTACGACTCCCCTATACCTTGTACAACCAATCGTCACGTTAGAATAAACACTTTTGTGTTTATAAGTGTTTATAAACACTTACTACTTAAAAAACGTGTTAGGGAATTTTCTTATTCCATAATTGCCATCAACATTTAACTAAAGTTAAAAAGGGTCTGGCTCTGCACAAGTACTCTGATCTTTATATTAAATAATCTTTATTCTGATCTTAATAACACGGTCAGCAGGGGATGTTCATTCCTCCATGGCACCAGATCCCACCTCTGATGTTTCGGTGGTCCGTGTTTGCTCTGATCTTATTTTGTATTTTATATACGAAAACTTTTGTCTGTGCCTGTCAAGCTAAATCAAGTGATTTCGATAATAAAGTTTTATTTCCAAGAAAAATACGAAAAGCACAAAATATGCACAAAAGAATAACACAAAATGATTTAACATATTTGCTAGAGAAAACTGACAACTTAGGACCTGAAGTTGCTTTTACTTCTGAATCTAAAGCCAAAAAATTTATTAGATTAAATAAAATTTAAACTTGTTAATTAAACTTAATAACAGAAATAATCTAAAATAAATAATAAATTTATACTTAATATAGCTTATATATTTGAGGGTCAATTTTACACTATTTGTTATAATAGAAGGACAAGAGACACGACTTAAGCTTTTCCATCGTGACTTTGCATATATATACGGAAATGATCCACTGACACCAGTCCTCATTATAGTGTTTGTCTCACCGATTTTTTTTACAACCACATATATCAAAGATGCCTTCGTTTTTGCCTTAATCTTAGATTAAGATATTTACTATAAAGTAAATTTAAAGATTTTGCACAATCTCTTTTAAGATTCGTATTTCGTTTTGTCAATTAATTGGCGTCGCTAGCAAATTTAACAAATTGTAAGTTTCGTTTGTATTATGCATAACATCTTGACATGCTTTATATTATTTTGATCAATCTATGTTTCTTTAAAAAATAACTATAGGATATTCATCCTACCTGCAAAGCAATACAAAGTATTGCGACGGAATTGCCCCAATGATCCTTCTAGTCAGCGCATGATTCTATCTTTTGAATTTCAATGGTCCGAGTTCTATGCCCTTTTAATATAATTGTTTTATTTATTGCTTTTCTTTTTTAGATTGATCACATTTTATTTTCTTTTAAATTAACTTTTGCATCACATATGTATTGAAATTTAAAATTATTAGCACTAAAAATTAGTGATTTATCAAAATATCAGTTGATGTCACTTGATAAAATTGCTAATGAATATTTATTCCATGCTCTTTTTCCTAAATGCACGACACTGAGCAGTCAGTCCAGCTTGGCTTCAAACGAAGAACATCACACACCACGGCGCTTAGAAATGTTTGTATGATTTTGCTGTTTTGTGGTCAAATTGAATGTAGCATTTTAAAATCAATCAGTGAATGTTTTTATCTATTTTTTAGGACATACACCGATTGCAATAAGTCACAATTTTACCATACCATGAAAACAAAAATTACTTATTATCTATTTTGCTATCTAAATACATATTTTGAATGCCAGATTTTTAATTTGTCTCGATCTGATCATGCAAAGAAGCTTGAAGTTTGCGTTCTTTATTTTTAATTTCCAGTTCAGTTATAAAGCATGTTCCTTAATTTTAAATCTTAAGCGAATTTCTTTTTTTTTCTTTTTCAATTAAATAAATTTAGAAGGCAGTTAAATTCAACAAGGGACAACCAACCTCAAGTGCCAGAAGGTTCCCAAATGTGCGTATGCTTCGTTTTAGATTCATTGTGTCTATTTTATTAATATTTGAATTACAATATGTAGATGTATCTCATCAGCAGGTAAATTTCATATTTTATATTGCTTTTATTCCATTTGAAATACTATAAACCAACTTTTTTTCGGTTACGAGAAATTTTCGTGAAGTTTGCGAGATCCTCGTGATCACGAATTATTTCTTGCCGCAAACTGGTCCCTTAAGTGTATTTGTCTATTCTGTCTATTCCAAAAGGGTTTTGATCGCGAAAATTTATCGTCGTGAACAAGTTTATCCCTAGTAAATGGTGAAATAAAGTCATCTAGAAGAAAAGTTGGTTTACAGTAGATGTAATTTGTATTAAAATGTTATCTTAAATTTCAGGTATCAAGCCAGAGTACAAACTTTTGGGATTACTTCAACAGAAAATGCTTCCCTTAAACCATCAGACTTAAAAAAGAAACCTCCGGTTCCTGAGAAGCCAAAGTTGGAAAGACCTAGTATTAAAACAGGAGAGGTAAAAAAAAATTTAAAAATGTATTATTCAGTCATATAAGCTCACTAAATACAGATACATGTAAAAAAAAAAAGATACGATTTCAAATTGAAATGTAGGTGTGGTTGCATATTTTTATTATCAATTTGCTGTTCAGTAACTTTATAAACAAGTCATAACGAAGGATATGGAGATAACAAACAGTATTCAATATCACTGTCCATAGAACAATACTTAAAAGGAGCAGAGCAAAAACGGACCTCCGAAACATCAGAGGTGGGATCAGGTGCCATAGAGGAGTGAGCATCCCCTGTGGCGTCGGTAGTCCAGTGGTTAAGGTGCCAGACTCCAAACCGAAAGGTTGTGAGTTTGAATCCTGGCCGCGACAAGCCGACGTTGTGTCCTTGGGAAAGGCACTTTACACGAATTTCCTCACTCCACTCAAGTGTAAAACGAGTACCTGGCTATAGACAGTGACCGATATTGTCAGAATGTTAGTGTTCTAGCGCTGATAACGGCAGCTTGCACTGAAAAGATTCTGGATTGTTTAGGTCTGCTGGGGTAATAATGCATTGTAAAGCGCTTTGAGTAGCATTTATGCTAGAAAGGCGCTATATAAATACGATCATTATCATCATTATTATTATTGACCGGTCACACAATCCGTGTGCTCCTTGTTATGATCAGGTAATAACGGAAAAATCCGTTGTCAATTCAGTCTATAAATAATATAGAAAATAAAGCGTCCTACGATTAAACATATAAATTACTGCGCAGAAAACTCATTTTAAGTTTTAATTTGTGATCTTTAAAGAAAGTGTAGAATGGACAGATTGTCTGTGCCATAATTGCGACGCAGCGCAATTAAGGTTACAAATAGAGATATCTCTGATTTTTTTAAGATAAAAAATACATACTTTATTAGGATGATCGATTCTTTCTAGGACTTCACTGATATAAGAAAAATGTAATGTGGTTCAAATCTACATGTTGGGGACATTTAAATTTTATATTTAGACTTGAAATAAATGTAGTTTTACTCGAAATGTATTCCTCTCAAATGCAAATGTAAGTAAAAAACTACAATATTAAAGAGTTAATTGGGAAATGAACTTTTTGTTGGTACGTGATCAAATCTACTGTGAAGCCCTTCACGTGACCAACTAAAAGTTCCTTTCCCAGAGAACTGTTTAACATTGTTGTTTATTTCCTAAGCGATTTCAAGTTCCAAGTGACTTCATTCTCTCCTAATTTAAATGCATCACCTTACAGCACCTAATAAATATGCACATGTACAATGTATGTCATCAAATATATCAAAGGTGGTAAATTCAAAGGTCAACAAGTTTAATTATTTGAAAAGTTTAACGTTTAATCATATTTTAAGGATAAAAACATGTAAGTTAAATGGAAGAATTTTGTAAATGTTAGTCACAATTTTTAAAAGTGTCTACACAATTTCACTAATAAAATAATACATATTAAACCATTCATAAGCTATTTTTGCTATGTGTTCTTATCTTTTTTTTACATTCAGAACTTTGAAAAAAAGGCCGAAGACCAAAAAGCGCTCTCTGGCAGTAGCCCAACCAGGTATTTTTTTTATTAATATGACCATATTCACACGTCAGACTTAATGTCAATATGGGAGACTGCACAAACTTATACAATGTAAATCTGACTGAAATTACATACGCATGGGAGATGTAAGTATTTTCAGGCAAATGTACGTAACGAGACCAACATGAGTAAACTTCTTGGATGTTCTGGATGTTAAACATAAATATGTAATACATTCACTATTTTTGTGGAAAAAATCAATCAATTGATAATTAGAAGATAATTCTTTACTGTGATTCTGGGTGAAAATATCCTGTCTCAATTTAGGATCCTATTTTCTAACCTAATGTATAAATCGTCTATAAATTACTTAAATCATTATAATCCAATTCATTTGTCCTAATATCTTCGTTAAAATAAGCTTGAAATTTGCATTGTCTATGATAATTTTACTATCCAGTTAAGTTATTGGGCTTCTTTGTTTTATTTCTTAAGTCAAATTGTCAATTTTTGTTCTTCAATTTAATTATTTAGAAGGCAGTTAAATTTAACTACGGACAACCAACCTCAAATACCACAGCGCTCTCAAATGTGAGAATGCTTTGATTTGTTTTTTTTGTGTCTATTTTTATCAATGTTTGAATTAGATAAATCTCATCATTGGGCAAAATTGATAATATTTATTGCCTTCATTCAATACGAAATAAATGTCAGTTGCAGGACATACAACGAATGAAATAAGTCAAAATTTTACAAAAGTGTAAAAGTGTAAAAGTTATATTCAGTTCTTACCTATTTTAACAATCTAATTACATACTTTGATTGCCATATATTTTTATTTCTCCCGATCTGTTCATGAAAATAAACTTAAACTTTTCATTTTCTATGATATTTTTATCTTCCAGTTAAGTAATTTAACTTGTTTTTTTATTTTTAAAGTAGATTTATCTTTTTTCTCTTCAAATTCATTAATTTAGACGGCAGTTAACAACGGAAAACCAACCTCAAAAATGTTCTGAAATGTGTGTATGCTTCCTTTTGAATTCATTGGGTCTGTTTAAATTAAATATATTTCATCATCAGGTTAAATTGATAATTTTTATTGCTATCACTCGATATGGAATAAATATCATTTGTCTTAAAGGAAATCTTAAAATTTAGGACTCAGGCACAAGTACATGTATCAACGTTGGGGTCTGCCTCAACAGAAACTGTTCCTATAAAGCAACGTCCAATACCCAAGAGACGAACGTTGGAACGACCTAGAATGAAAGCAGAGGAGGTAAAAATTAGGACAGTATCCAGTTTAGCTAGGACTATCAGTAAGGCGTGGCATTCTTGACGTTTTATGATTAGCTTATGATATTTACACATCTTTCCTTCACTGGGATAAAAATGCGGGAAAATGCCAATTAGTGTATCGAATAACCAGTAACATATCGTCTCGTCCGGCAAAGAGTTGGAGCTTAAGTGGTCTCATCGTTGTAAACAAAATTTAAGTACCTGATGTTGTCAATTTTCTTAATCAACGAGAATATAATCATCATTTGATAAACGCTAAACATTATTACGTAGCACCGAGAATGCCACGCCTAACCAAAAGTCCAAACGTATCTGAAAATAGTTTTAAACATTACACAAAATAAGTCATCTAATGTCACCAGATACAGATACATGAAGTGGGATGATACAAAATCAAATTGAAATGGGGGCTAGGTGCATATCTTATTGTCAATTTGCTGCTCAAAAATTTTATAAACACTTCATAATTTGAGGCGTCTTACACGTACATTGCTTCTGCAGAAAACATATTTTTTGTATTATTTTTTGGTCTTAAACGAATTTGACAATAAGAAAGTGTTGAATTAACCGTTTTTCCGGGCAGTAATTACAAGTGAAAGAAACGCTTACATTTTTTAAATACATGTTCCAAACAATGCATCAAATGTTTGTGCTATATGTCCTTATTTGTTTATTTTTTGCCAAACAGACTGAAGAACAAAAAGGTGGAGCTATATGTATCAGCAAACCATCCAGGTATTAATTTATCGATATGACCATATCCACACGCACAACATAATGGTTCTTTTGGAAGAATGCACAAATTTATGTTAGGTATATCTGACTGTAATTAATAAAACATGGACTATGTAAGTTCAGTCAGATATACATCACAGTTACAAAGTAAACTTTCTGATTGTTCTGAAAATTAAAGTTAATCGTGTGCCTAGTTCATTTTATTATACCTCTGTTTATTTTTTCTATATAAAAATAAGACGAATAAACATGTTATTTTTCTAAACAGTCTCTACCGTGAAATAGTTTTTGTGCTATTTGCCCATGGTGAATAGTGCTCAAACTATTCAACGGCAGCATTTGATTTCCCTCGCTTTTCATCTCTGAAAAACTTCTGATTTTTACATGGATTGTGACGCGTATATATTATGACGTAACAAAAGTTAAGTCAGCACCGGTATAATATGGAATATCATAATTGTGTGTACCCTGGACTTCCAAAAGTTAACAAAAGTTAAGTCAGTATCGGTATAATAAAACACCTATTTACTGACTATTCGGACAATAGCAAGTTTATCGTCCCCCTCGACAGCACACTATTTAGTTTAACTAATAGTTTGCTGTCTTGGGGAACGATAAACTTGCTATTGTCCTCATAGCCAGTAAATAGGTGTATAATATACTTCTTGTAAATAAAAAATCAAATAATAATCATGGGATTTTAAAACTGTTATTCTGATTCCTTCAGTAAAAATCATAGTACCCTGCAATTTGGAGTTAATATGTTTGTGTGACCTTGTATAAGTCGATACTTAAATAGCTTAGAATGATAGAAATGCGTGTATGATATTAAAGATTTTGGTTAAACAGAAAAAATAACCACCAAAAGGATTTCATTGCGGCGGATAGAGTGTTTTTACATTTGATTTTAATTGAATAATATCAAAAAGGGATAACTATTCAAGGACAGGATAGGTTTTTTAAAATGGGTATGATCCGTTTATACATACATGTAATAAGACATGGAAATAATTCTATATAGAGGGGTTGTTCGAAACGTTCATGGATGCTGTCAATCTTTGTTATACTTATTCAAGAAATTAAAAATAAGCATAATTGCATGTGGAAAAATATTTTTTATATGTGAAGTTTCGTTTCGTGCAGAATTTTCTAATGAATGAAAAGTTGTTCTAATTTTCATGGAATTTAGGAAGAAAAATGTCCCTTAACCTCTTTCTTACGCTTCAGAAATTATATCTACAAATTGAATTTGTTTTTTCTATAAATAAGATGTCATACAAATACATATATATATATATATATGCATATGCAACACTGAAGAAATGATTTTTCTAATTTGATTCCTGATCCTGTGGTTGATTTATTCAATAAATGAAGTAGTACAGCAATAAACAAGGCAGGTCAACAAGTTCCAGACGTTAAAAGTCACATCGACAGTGATCAAATTAAAAAGGTAAGACAAAAGTCAAAAGAGAAAATTTTCATCGTATTCTTATTTGTTTGCAATTGGTAAGTTTAATGGACGACAATGAACTGCGTCGGATATTGCTAACCTTTTTTTTTTACATTTGAACAGCAGTTCAAGGGATTCGCAGCATACGTAGTTCAGATAGGACATAGATTGTTCATCAATGTTTCTTTTGCATTTAACTACTATAATAATCCCAAGAAATAGCTTCATATTGAAGTTAGTTGGCAATTTATTAATCTAGTATCTTAACCAAGTAAGACAGATCATTTAACAATACGTAGGGGGATCGGACACATGCCTTGAATTGGACAACAGTAAGGCTACACTAACTTTTCAGAACATCAGAGATTTGAAAAAAATATTACATGTTTATCTTTTAACTTTACTAAGTAACATTTAACTGTTAAAACACTCCCTCCCAGCCATTCAATTACAAGATTGCAAGGCTGCCCTAAACAACAATTGCAGCTTAATTTCTACGATACAATAGGTTAATCAATCGCGATCTGAGCTAAGGCATTTTTAAATGCCTGTTTTTCAGATGAATAGGTAGATTTTTTTTTAACTTGGCGCATTGAAGTAACCGTTGGACTTCCGGTTTAAGGACTATTATCTATGCATATAATACTTAAGACCCCGTTGAGGCGTTATGTAGTGTATTATTGCATCACCAGCTCTCCATCACCTTTCCTTTGAGATTTTCTAGCTAGAGCAACGGAAATGCGTACCGCATTCCAAGAATTTTAAAGGTTTTCTAAGGCAAAGCGAGGCATCTTGAATCGTTATACATTTATGCAAAGATAATTTCAATTGAAGGTTGTTCTTTTAGATGAAAGATATAAGTATATCCATATCAAAAATTCTACTGTAAGAAAGGTAGGATATTTTTCAAGTCCAATTCCCGCCTGTCCGATGCATGGTAAATAATCTATCGTGAATTCTGAGTGATTTAAAAAAAAAATGATTTTTTCTGATATTTTCCCAATAAAAAGAATACAATTGTGTCCCAAAGTCAAACTTTAATCACATACTAAATGTTTAGTTCCATTTTGATAATTTTCCGTCGATAGCAAAATCGCTAGAACTTGTTGAAGTTCAAGGGTTTCCGATGAATGGTGAATTGACACTACCACAAAAGCTTTTCTTATCTTTCGCATTAAAGAGATACACATTTTTTTCGGAATTTGCAGTGTTTCTGTGTACATTGATTCATATTTTATCAAACCAAAAATTGAAATAATAAGATTTTGTATAGAATATTGTAAAGAGAATTACTATCAAATTTAAATATGCGGCGCCTAAAGGCATCTGAAGGATTAGAAAAGCGGCAAACTATAACTATAATCAATATTGACGAAAATAATCAGACCCTTTGTTTGGACAGTTCATGCAGATTTTGGAGGAGCCAATTTAATTCTTTCTTGGTCTGCTTCAATGAAGGTTTTTTGTCACATAGTATTTTATAATAATAAGGAATTCTCCAGTGTTATTTAGATTTAAAGTGGACATTTTCTTTTGCGTCATTTATTTTTTCGGGAGTAACTCATTTGCACTTTTGGTCTCAAATCCCCGCTCAGTTCTAGTTTGTTTCCTCTTAGGTTACGCCAGGAGCCTGCATGTCACCAAACGTATTATTGTGAGACAAATTGACGACCGGACTCTTTTTCGAAGTACAACTCTATTCTCCCTATATACCAAGCAGAATATTTTATGCCCCCCCCCCAAAAAAAACCATTCTATGTAATATCTCCTTATAATTTCTTTCTTTCAGATGTCTCCATCACTGTTGAATTGTTTCACAAAAGAAAAAGGAACTCTGATTACAGAGCAAATAACTGTTAAGGTTATTGATGTTCTTCCATTAGAAAAGTACCAGAAAAGAAATGGAGAATCTCGCGAAATGTTCAGAGCTTCAGTCTGTGATGCCACCTATGTCTGTATAACCAACGTTTATGACTCAAAAAAAGTCACCATAATACAACCAAACAAAGTTCTCATACTGGAAGACTTCTATATCAGAAATGGGTAAACACTTTCAGGTTTATTTTTAATCTGGTGAATACTCAAAGCACAATCAATGTACCTGAACATGTATGCATATTACATAACATATTTATGTATAAATTTAATTATTATTTATGCTTAGATATATTCAGATACAACTGTAATTAATTCACATTTTTTCTTATTTTTCAGTGAAATTTCAATAACAAGCAAAACAAACGTATTCAAGGCAGGTGATCCACCGGAAATTCCAGATGATATCATTGATAAAGCATCATTGTTGTTGAGAGGTCTACAGTTTCCTTATAGAGGTCTATTGCGTGGTATAGCTGACTTACATAGGTACAAGTATGTTTTCCCTTTTTTAAATGGTTAATCTTTGTCAAACATAATATCTTGCAAATAATTTCTGTATACATGTACATTACATAAATGGTTATTTTAAACTTGCATTAATTGTGTGATTTTATATACATTCAAACTTTAATTTTTGTTTTGTAAAGATGTTGCATCAATGGGAGATGTCGTAAAAGGAAGTTACAAGAAAACAAATGTCCAAAATGTGGCCGGTTGTACACAGAGACTAGTTCTGAGTATGCATTTGTTGGAAAACTTTCGGTGGAGACTGACAGTGAAAATAACACTTATACTATTTTTACACCTCAGGTAGAACAGCTTTGCACAGATTTGGGTTGCAACATAAAAAGTACCTCACTGGAAGATGACATTGTCCAGAAACTCTCTGTTAATATCAAATTCAAGAAAAATGGAGAAAAAATCACAAAAATTTCAGTTGAAACATCAGTTGACGTTCATGGGTTTTAATACTGAACTTTGCACACCTGTCTCATAATTTTACAGAGTCGGTAATGGCTTCCATAGGAAACTCTGGACCTGCTAAATGGGACTTTTCCCGATTTTTTCCTGTTTGTTTTGATGCCATTCAATATTTTTAAAGTGAGCTCATTATAAATTGCAATAGAGTAGCATGCACTAAGCTTTACATACATAATTGTACACTTATATATAATTTCAGAGAGTGAGATATGGTACTTCATGAACAATCATTTTTGCCCAACTTTTAAAAAACTTAATACATTAATTTATTTTTTCATATTTCATAAAATAATGAACCCTAGTTTGGCAATCAATACCCAGTGCATATATTGTAAATTTCAGAGATTACGCCATGTATATCATAGGTGTATATTTCTTTGCTCTCCCATAACTTTATATATGTCCATAACCATGAAAATCTGAATCTACATCTTAAAAATATCATTTATTTGCTGTAAATGGTTTTCTTTTTGTTAAAATGAAGACTATAAATCAGATTGTGACATGCACTAATAACAAGGTATCAGTTAATTTACAAAATGACATTTCTTATTAATGGATGTCTTTTCAAAAAGGTAATTGAAACTAAACCATTATCCCTTTGTGAAGCCATTTTATTCATTTTTTATGTATGGTCTTCTTTTTCACTGTAGAAGAAATTACTTTGCAGATTACTTCCCTTTCTCACAACTTGAATTGCATCCATAACCAGTTGTTTAACATTTACTATGGGTCATAATTTGTTTTAAAAAACCTTCTACCACAAATTGTTTTATTGCAGAATTAAAATTGTTTTCATTGCAGTATTTCAGTGTTTTTTTTTTAGCATTTTCAACTGTCATTTGCCATTTTTAAAAGATGGTTTAATTCAAATTCATGTTATCTTAACACAAACAAGAGCTTCACAATTTCTTTTATTCGTTTCATTAGTTTTATATACTTCATTTGAATTTAAATATTATTTAATATTACTCAATATTTTGTTGTTTAAGGTAGTTCTATACTCGACACTAAATGGGCTCAATATTTAAAAATCTGCTTTTATATAAGATAGACATACATCCCAGAAATTGATAGACACAAGAAAAATTATATGTCAACATGTTCGCTTTTCCGCTATAGCCTATCGGAGTATATACCCCAAAATGTAAAATACTGAAATTTTACCTATCCTATGTTTTGTTGTATATAAATTAATTTAAGTCTAAATATTCACCTTTAATACCCAAAATAGAGTAGAAACATGTTATTAAACAATAAAATATCATTGCTTTTCATGAATTATTATAAATAGATGCACTTTGTTAGGCTATTGTATCAAAATTTAATGTGAGAAAATATGCTTCCCAGAACAATCTCGGTCATTTAAAAAATATTATGGACTCAAACTTCGTAAATTTGCATTATTTCTACTAAATTATATTTAAGAAAAATAATAAGCTTAAAAAAATTTTATGTTGACGCATTACTTTTCGTGGTATGAGCTCTACACTAAAGGTACCCCCCTATTTTCTTTCTTCCAGAAGTAATGAATTGCCACATATTTCTGTAATACTGTTATGTTTGAGTGTATACTAGTATTACCAAGCTAGTACATTATCTAAAACAATAATTATACACATCCAAAACCTATTGTCCCTAAAATTTATCTTATTTTACTCGAAAAAAAAATAAAAATAAAACACACTTGTCTTTATATTGGAGACGATGAAAATGAAAGTAATTCACTGATTCTCAGAAACTGGATGATTTTGTTACAGAAAGTAACAAAGTATGCTGCAAGTGAATCAATTTTTCTCAAATACTTATTCAAAAGATAATTTTGCATTGGGATTCGTGGGTCAGCAGGTTGGGGGAGGGGGGTACGTGTTTTATGCAATAATTATTTTTTAAAGTAAATTTTGTAATGTTTGATTAGTAAAATCCATAAATTTTCTAAGTCAAATCGTAGTCATTACTTTTCTTCCGAATTATCACTATTAGGTTCAACTTGGCCGCCGACAATCGTCGCCTCGATAGTTTGATACAGTCATGTTCTGATGTAGAATGTATATGGTCTGTGTTTTCGACGCGGCATATCAAACATGCATCATTCACAGAAATATCGTTTTATTACCTAATTATTTCTGTCAACCAAAAGTTGTTCCCAGCCTTTTCTTTTTAATTAATTTATCATTAAACTGTACAATATGTGTTTGTTGACGCGACCGACTTCGAGCAAAATCGTTACTGGATATTTAAAACGCTAAGTAAAAGTCAAACCAATATAGTTAAAAACTCTCATCTCGGAAAAAGGACGCGCGGTTCCGGTTTTACTATTCGTAAATGACGTAGTGCGAGTATAGACCTACTTTAAATATTTTCCACTAAATGAACTTTTGTATCAGTGTTTAAGAGGCACACAATATATTAACATATCTTTTTTTCATATTCCTTTCGTTTTTCTCATGCGCTTCTAATGAAAACACAGCCAATTGTGCCTAACGTTAATTTAACATGTAAATAACGTCAATTTAATGTTAAATATCTAACGTTCAATACATAAAGTTAACGTTAAATAATTAACTTTAAATTAACGTTATTTTCATGTTAAACTAATGTTAAGCGTTAAATAAACGTTAATTAGTTCACACTAATTTGCCGTTAAAATGCATAAAAATAGTGTGCATATTTTTTGGAATTTCCTTCCTATTCTTCCAAAAAAATACATGATCTTGCATCATAGCAGAAGCTTAACTGATACTACATGTAATCATAATTATTTCTCTAAAGGTACACCTGAAGCTCATCAATTTTGCACTTTTCCATGTAGCACTGCAGAAAGCTAGGCTTGCGTGTTGACTTCATCCTTGGTGTCACTTTCTTTTCAATTTGAATATATCGTAAAGGATAAAGGGACCCATCAGCTCTTTCAACAAAATATCTAAAATTCTGAGCATTGCCTCCGATTTCAAATTTTCTGAAGAAAAGAGAAAAACACCTATTCATCCATTAATACTCTTGATCAGGCATATTCAATACAATGCTACAAATCTTTCTTTTTTTCAATCTGAAAAAGAAGGGAGGCAAACACATATATTAGAATAATTGTATGAAAATAAAATACTTCTGCAATACATTGACAACTCAAATTTGTCTCAAAAATATAATGAATGAAACAAGAGGTCCATTGGCCACATCCCTCGGCTGAGTACATGGGCTAGCTTAAAACACAAATCAGTTAAGTATTGAGAAGCTTACTTTATGCTTATTGGGGGAGGGGGATTTGAATTTTCAATTACTTGAAAATGTCACTAATACAATACAGCATACATATATAATTTTGCAATAGTTGAAAAGAAGATTTTTAAAGATTTTTCCAACACATTACCTGATCTCCTATTGTGAACCCTTGCTAACCCCCCAATCCCCAGGGCATTGAATAAATTTAAATTTTTACTACTTGCAGATCATGTCAATTTGACAAAACAATTTTTTTCTGTTCTGGAGAAGACTCTTATTCCTATGTTTTCTTATGCAAGTTTGTGATCCCCCATTGTGGCCACACCTTAACCCCAGGGTCATGATTTGAACAAATTGAATACACATTTAGTACCTTTGGATGCTTCCACATCACGTCATGAGATTAATCATTCCTGTCCAAATGGTTCTGAAGAAGATTTTTAAAAGGTTTTTCCTATATGCATTCGTATGTGAAATTTTGGTCGGCCATTGTGGCCCCATCCTACGCCCGGGGGTCATGATTTGATCAAATTTGAATCAACACTACCTGATGATGATTCCACATAAGTTCGGAGAAGAGTTTAAAAAGGTTTTTCCTATGCATTCCTATGTAAAACTTTGGAACAAATTTGAATCTACACTACAGAGGTCTGACATCATAAAGGGTCGACACGCATTCAGTGTCTTCTATACATGCAATTGGTTTTGAAAAAATATGCATTTCGCATGTTAAAAGCCACAAACAGCGAGATCAGGCAAATATAAAGTATGAATAAGTCACAAATGAAAATATAAGTAATAAGGTATCATTTTTAAACATCCAACAGGCTATAAATAATACGGGTTAGTATGAGAGTAAATTCATTATAAAGCCCTTCATGACCAACCAGGATTTATGTCCGGATAGATGTTTAAAAATACCTTATTTCTTAAATAAGACTGAAAGTCCATTGTGCCCTCCCCCCTCTCAAGGTTGAAGAGGTTTGAAAGTACACTATCTGAGAATGCTTCCATTTAAGTTGCATCTTTCCTGGCCCAGTGGTTCTTGAGAAGAAGTTGGAAATGTGAAAATTAACAGATGGACAGACAAACGCCAAACAAAAATGTGATCTGAAAAGTTTACTTGAGCTTTTGGCTCAGGTGAACTAAAAAGCTACTAGTATTTAAAAACTATATACTTCCATATATATTGATATACATATAGAGACAGGCAAACAGACATTGTGTTTCCAGTATACTTTCAAAAAAATTAGTGATGACATATTAAATGGGTTTAAATATTTGATATGTGTTCAAAATAAATGCACTTTACCTGGTATTTTGAAGATTGCTTAAGGTGATGAAATATATTCACTTTCTTGAGATTATCATGTTCATGTCAGCAGGACTTTATACTGAGTTAACCTACAATTATATAAAAAAAAAATAATTAAAAATCATTTATTTGAAATGTAATATTTTCAACACATATGATATTCATATATAGATAGAAACCATAATATTTTATGTGCAGCATCTGATTCAAAGCAAACTTTTAGTACAGTGAAAGCAACTTGGCTTTATATTTGTCTCTTTAGCATAACTCTAGATCAATTTATAAAATTTTTCCAAATGAAAACTATATATACACTATGTGTATACTATTTTATAAATAACCTTTATTCCTGCATGTTTATCCTGAAAAAAACATCAATTCAAGGAGGCACAAAGGAATGGTATATAGAGGCTGTAGTCTGCTCTTTTCTCCATGTCCTGCATACAACTATCTTTTCTGTATTATGCAGTAAAAGAAAAAAATCTTGATTTAATAATGCTTTTAAAATGTTTCTGAACAAAATATTGA